AGTGGGATGAACAGAGCTATTTTTTAGTGGTGGACTTGGCAGTGATAGGTTAACGGTTGGACTCGATGATCTTAAGGGTCTTTTCCAACCTTAATGATTCTATGATTAGTAACGTAACTGGTATCAGAGCACATGAGGAAGTGCAAATTCCCAAGCACCACACAGCAAGCTGTATGTGTAACTAAATAAATAAATATTCACATATTACCTGTCTCTATATCTATACTGTCTAAGAACCTCACATCTTCCTTGTGTCACTGATACTGGAGATCTTAATCTCTTTGCCATATAACAGCATTTTAACACTGATGCTGGAACAAAAAAAACTATTCAGAGTACGTACATGGGTTTTCTGAGGAATGAATGGGAGTAATAATCATTTGTAGTATAAGGATCAGCGGCTGCGCCCACAGGCAGATGTACTGGTACTTCTCTGGTATGCCTTATCTTCTCTGGGTTTAAAATCTATGCAAGGCTGTGTCTGGAGCAAATTTTGTTGCTGACTGACTGCGAGGCTGGTTTGCTTTTAGAAGCTGTGTGAAATGTACACATGACACTGCAAGCTCCTAATGATGCAGTGCTCTTATTTAACTAGGCCCTGGATGTTTAAGAGGAGGGATATTAACGTATTTAAAACTTTCTTCTTTTGCCTTGTAATCAGGACTCCATCAACCCTGTAGACAGAGCTTATAGCCAAAGGCTAGAGATGGATCCAGAGACTGATGGGTTTAGAAATCAGGTGGTATACTGAGTGGCTTGGGGACCTACTGAGGCTAGTGAGGCAATCCTCAGCTAAACAGAAGATCACATTGAAGTAAATCTTTGGTCTGTATTTAGCAAATCAAAGATTTAAACCCAGGTTTTCAACAAGCTGAATAAATGTCAGTAACAGTTTGTTTGCTTTCTGGCCTTGCCTCTATTCCCGTTCTGTGTTGGAGCTGAGAAACTTTTTCTCATTACAGCTTCTTTAAAACTGGAAAGTTTCTTTTGACAAATTGCTCACCTTAACTCCAGCACTTCCTAAATTTGTTCTGTTGGACTTGGCAATCTTAATACTTTTCTATCATCGTTTTGTGGGGGTGAGGTGCTGTAACTTGAGTGAAAGAAAATGAGATGTATAAATTAAATATTTCTTTTTCACTTAGGTGCCAATATGGAGAATTTTGTCAATATCTATTGCATAGACTTGTAGCTTTTAGGGCCATAAAGGATCTTTATAATCATCCAGTTCCATCTTGGATGAAACAGAGGCTACAAAAATTTGCTCAGTTGTTATCACATCAGTTGCAGTCCACTTGAGCTACTTTGGGAAAGAAATACATTCTTTCATGCTATGAAAGACTCTGTCATAATATTCACAGAACACAGGACAAAGTGAAGGTCAGGTCTGAATTTTCTCACTGGGGAAATTAGAATCTTTGATGTTGCATAATCACAATTTTTTATACCTTCACACTCTATATTATACAAGTGATTCATTAAGCTATAATAGATGTTCATGTCACTCGAGTATCCTCCTTTTGAACTTCAGAAATGCAAATTTATTCACAAACCTAAACTGAAGATCTCATTTAGAATGTATATGTGCGTGTAGCAGCATGTGTACTACAAGAAGGAAGTGTTATTTGTAAAAGAGTTATGGGCTTGTAAACCACAGAGACATTTGCAGGTATTAGATTTGTTCAGCTACATTAGCAGCTGTTTTGAGCTTTTGGGATCAATGGTTTTGTATGCAATAAAAGAATTCTATTTCCAGTTAATACAAAAGGAATGTTATAGGTAGATCATCTGTCTTAAACATTCAAAAAACTTTTTAATTAAATAATAAAATACAAAGATTAGCACTTGGGGAACTTTTTTGTCAAGCAGTCACCTACCCTACAAACTATTTTTCTTTAATATTAGCTTTGGCTTTCCCCAAAAAATGCTCAGCTCCTTAGAACTTCAGTGTATGGTAACACACTCCAATTAGTGGCCAGCTGTGCAGCTGCATAATTGTTATTGTAAGTCATTGCCATTTGTGATTCTATATCTCCATTGTATCCTCACTCAGTGGTCATAGACTGAGGAGTACAATTTAGTCACGTGTGATACAGAGGTCCTACTATAGCATTATCTTTGTTCCCTTTCTCTTTGCCTCTTTTAGTTTTATTATATTATTTTTTGACAAAGGGGCATGTAGAACTGCATAATAATCAAGATATAAGTTCATCATAGATTTATTTACTGACATGATGATGTTTTGTTCTCTAGCCTTTTCCAAAAAACTACTACTATTTGATTTTTCAATTCTGATCACTATCAGCCACTGAACTGACATTTGCAAAGCACTGTTGTGCCTCTTAAGGTTTCATTACTGAAAGGTAACACTCAGTTCTGAGTCTATTATCTATTATTGTGTACATAAAATGAGTGTTGGTTTTTTTCTCACCCTGTACTCTGCTAAAATCAATTTACATTGAATCTCATCAGTTTCTTTGTTGCCCAAGAGGTTGTACCAGAAGTTGCTTCTGCAGTTCATCAGCCCTTGCCTTTACTATCTTGAATAATTCAGTGTAATCAGCAGATGTCATTAGTTCAATATTTATGCCTTTTTACCAGATAATTTATGACCATATGGAACAGAAAAGACACTAGTGCAGGAACAGATACTTTTTTCTACTCCTTGCTTGCTGTTTCTTTACCTACCCTTTACCTACCTCCATGTTCAGACTGCCTCTCTCACGCTAAAGCAGCTTAATTTATTTAGGAGTTTTTGCTTCAAGACTCTGCCAAGTGCCTTTTGTGGATCCAAGTACACTGTATCAGCTAGAGCTCCCTGGTGTACATGCCTATTGACCCCTTCAGAGACTTTCAGCAGAACTGTGAGGCATAACTTCTTTTTGCAAAAGCCATGTCAGCTTTTGCCCAGTATAATCCTTCCTTGTTGTTATAGTCTGCATTTTATTCTTTGGAATAGTTCCTCCCATTCTTGGCCTTCAGGTTTGCTTCTCTATAGTTCCTTGGATCTGTCTGCAACCCTTGAAAAAAAATCTGGTGTCATGTTTGCCACCATACAGTACAGTGGTATGGAGGTTTGTTCAACAATACTTTCTTTAGCTGCAACATATTTTATCAGCTAAAGTACATCACATCAATTTTCATTAAAATCATAATATACAGCTTTATGCATGTATTTGGAGAACATAGGTACAGTGTAAAAATCTGTAAGATTAATAGTAATTGGAAAGTTAAAATGCAACAACGATAATTTTCTTTGCAGTTCTCACTGTGTGTAGAAACAGATGTGCTTTCAAATCCGTTTAATAGATTTTTCTTTTTTATAGACAACCCATTGACCAATGCTGTAGAAAATAAATACAATACTTTAATATTTTAAATGACATACTCACAGGTAAAAGATGAAGATTTAAAAGATCTCTTTTACATGGAAGAGCCTGCCTACTTCAGGTATAGGTTCCCACATATTTTCAGAGCCAACACAGGAGCCTTTTCCCAAACTAGTATTTTTATTATAGGACTGTCTATCAGCTTTGATGCCAAACATAAACTAGTTTAGAACAATGAGTATACCTACAGGATCTTTCACAGATGGATGCATGAGTCTTTAACAAAGATTTTAACAATAGGTTTTTAATGGTAGACCTAAATTTACTCCATTCCGGCTTCAATTTGCTTATGTGTAATATCAATCCAGTTAACATAACACAGAAACCAGAGCTGGGCAAGTAAGTCCAAGCACAGATTCACCATAGTGCAGCTACTTGGCTTCAGGATGGCTAGAAGAGTCATCCCACACCTACCTTCAAAATAACCTGAACAGCGATATATGTAATCCAAGAGTGGAGTTTCTTGTACTATTTCACTAGGCAGAGGTGCTTCAGGGGACCCTAAAGAAGGTAAATGTACTCGTAATCAGAGTAAGCTGCCCATAGACAGGCTATAGATTCTGGCATTTAATATAGGAAGTTCTGCTATCAGTCCAACAGCTCAATAGGAGGTTTTCTTCCCTCTCCCTCTCCTTCTCCCTTTCCTATCTACTGGGTGGTTGTACCTCTTTGTTTAGCCCTTTAGCAGAATGTGGTGTTTCCTAATAGTCCTCTTCATTCTCCGCCCTCCTTTGGAGTTCTTGTGTTTTGAACATGCATGGTAGTTGAAATCCTAAAATGCATAAAGCAACATATGGGTATTGTAAAGACAAGTGTGCAGTGGCTAAATGTCAAGAAGCACAAACAAGAGGCATGGGATCAGAATGGCTGTCTGAGGCTAATGAGTAGATATCCAGCTGTGTCTGCCCTTCAGATGGAAAACAGTTGAATACCAGTGGCTGGAATCTGAGACAGATGGCAGTGCAGTATTGGTTAGGAGCAGAGGCACACTTCAGATATTACTCAGTAACGATGCATTTTATATCTTATTCTACAATAAATGAGTAATCTGCTTAATATATATCCTTGGAAGAAGTGGCTGCTGCCATTCTGGTTGCTGCTAGGGGGCAAGGGATTAAAATACTGAAAATAAAATACAATAATTGACTATTACTCAGAATTTTAGCTCTAAATTCATATATGCAAACAAACCAAAATGAAATGTATCATCCTTTCCTTCCAGGCAGTGCTCAAAGACCTGTGAACCAGATCATTGCTTTCTGCTCCATTTTAATTTCTGCAGTTATTTTTCTATCAGTCTGGCAAATCAGACAATGCTGCATAATGCTCCCTTATGAGCATCTATAGAAATGTGAAAATAGCTAACCTTTGCCTAGGAAGGAAAACGTGAGCAATTAGAAAGTACAGGAGCAGGTCAGAAAAGTGGTAGGCAGTCAGAGAACAGACAAAAAGGAAAAAGAGTAGGAGGAGAAAAGTGTTAGCAACACTACAACACTTGCATCAGTTAGAGGGGGAGAGAGAGTCTATAACAACTTGAATATCTGAATGTTGGATCAAGTGACAGACTCAATCTAGACTTAAATGCAGAAAATAGGAAAGCAAACAGGTTGTAAACTAGGACTCAATGAAAAAATATCTTCAAATATTCACGTTAAATTTGGGGTACATTAATTTTGATCATTCTCAAGTTTCCATCTTGCATTTTCTTTCCCTGAATATTTCAAGTTAATTTTATTATCAAGAAGAACCTTTGGAAAGGAAGTTTTTCGACTATGCAGGTTTCAAATTCATAGAACAAGAATGGTTTTAAATGCATTTCACTCAATTATTTTCATCAGAAACTGAGCTATGAGAATTATAAATAAAGTAATAGATACCCTGATGCTTGATTAACTGAAAAAGTTCAGCCTGATCTTTACAATTTGTATTTTGAGTAGAAAGAAAGTACGTGACATGAAGTTTGTTTGTGTGTGTCTGGAGGCTCTGTAGATCCTGAAACATGTAGCTTGCTTTAATTAATAGTTACAAATTAGACATTTGTCTGTAGCGTGTGCTGTACTACCAGGAGGTACACAAAGGAGGGGTATTTATTATGCAAAATATGACTCTGTACTGAATAGAGCTGCTGGAACTTGAGGTGTCTGACATTCATCCTTCTCACCTCTGAGGGCATTTATTTAGATGGTCATCTGATGAGCTTTGCTTCTGGCAGTGTTCATAACATGTCTGTCCAATACATTCTTAGCTTGAGAACTTCTACATCATCTGTCTGTCCTCTTCTACCATACGTGTGAAAAGGACAATAAGAATTTGATGTCAGTGAGTAACTTAAGCTTGCCCCAAGAAAGCACAGGAATAAGAGCAACACAAGTGTCCCTTCACTGCCCCTTTCCTGCCTGCAGGCAGCATCAAGCTGGTGAGAACTCATGTAGCGCTTACCATGGTGGTTCCTCACCTTGAATATTAACTTAAGGATACATAAAAAGGTTTGTGTTTAATTATTAAGCAAGTAAATAAACTGTTCATAAATTTATTACAGGAAATTCTTCAGTCTTCTCCTTCATCTTTAGTTTTGCCAGCTGTTGACTGCAAGGCTACCAGGTATCTTCTGAGCTTTCTTCAGGAGTCAGGAGATTGGAAGTTAACAAACGTAACTAATCTCGATGTCTCTCAGCTGGAAGTGAATGCATCTAAACAAAACTTACTGGTGGTTCAGCTGCAACCACTTGTCAGGTAGGAGCTTGTCACAAGCAAAACTGACCCACATGTGTGCACGATTTTTACAGCTTTTGAGAATATCACTTGCATTCAGGAAATTTAAAAACCAAAGTGGAAGCGTACAGCGTTAGCAAAGTTATTTTTCTTGCAAGGGTGAATTCGGTGTTTTTTAAAGTCCCCTGATGAGCTTACCAGGTGTAATAGACGAATTATGTTGAGAAAGTCAGTCAGGCGTTCTTATTTTGTCTGCCTCATTATATGAGAACAAAGGGACAATTAATAAAACTAAGTGGCAACACACTTTTAGCAGAAAGGCTGAATTATTTTATGTAACACATGATTAACCTGCAGAATTAATTGCTAGAAGGCATTCCAGGGGTCAAAAAACTGGCAGGATAAATAAGCAAGCAAAAAAACATACAGACAAACCTGAAGTTAATATGAATAAAGAGACTGATTTTCATCACTCTAGAAGGAAAAGGCAGGCTATAATTCTTCATGTTTCCAGGCCTATGACAAATGTGATCTAACAGATGTAGAGAGAGACTGTTCCTTCAGGTGAATGTATATTTAGAAAATATAAGGCATGGGTGTATCGAGTCCCTCTGCTCAGCTTCTCCTGCTCTTTCTTCTTCCTAGCCTGTTACTTGGGCATTTGCATGTCGGTATACAGTGCATGTATCAACAGGTCCTAAGGAAGTGCAACTATAGCTATCACATCTCTACACAAAAAAAGACATGATACCCATTTTAAGGAGCTCGTGTACATATGTTAGCCAAGGGGCCAACACCAAATGACAAGAAAGCTGTGCAGAGATTGGTCAAAATAACATCAGTAGTCTGGCTTTTCTGCAGCTAAGGAAGTTTGAGGGGTTTGAGGAATCAGCTGAAGATGTGGTGCTTGTACTGTTAATGGCTTTGCAGAAGAAAAGGGTCATAAGGAGGAGATGAGAGAATGATGGAGGGACTGATGCTGACAGTAATCCTTTTACTAGTCAGTATCTTTGTACATTTCTAGTTCACATTGTTCTTGCCTAGAAAAGATTTTTAATTATTTTTCTCACACTCTTTTTGTAGTGGTTTAAATGAGATTTCCACCCTGGAAGCAATTGCTGAAAATGGTAAGCAATATGACCAAGATATAACTAACATTTCATCATTTAAGTCTGTGTTTTCACTTGAGCAGATTGTATTCTCTAGTTCCTGGGTTTTGCTGTAATACTACTATTTAAAGGTTTTCTTTTCCCCCATCTCTATAGTACTTATAAGCAGTCGATTATGATAGTGTTGAAGTACTGTTTGATTCAAAATCCACTGAAATGGATACAGCTCTGTGACTTGAAATGTAATGATAATTGACCTCTGCTTCAGGTATGGTCCTTTGCTCATGCTCTGAGGTCCTCCCAGTTCTCCGTGCAGCTCAGACTACCTCCTTGGATCTCACCTTGCACACCAGCAGATGGAGGTGTCAGGCTCACCCAGCAGTTCAAAGGTCTTGGTCTCAACAGAGGCTGTCTGAATGAATAGGAAATGTTTTTCTAATTTTTGTAAAACAATACTGATGCCCTTTACAGCCTTTGATTTTAGAGTCTTTTATTGGTTTTGCAGGTATTAAAGACTGTCTCTTAAAGTTGAATCTCTCCATATAACACTATAATAAAACTTTTCTTGCCTAGCATCTGGCTGAAAAAGAGGTGCCATACACCAAAGAGGCACTGAGAGGCATCTGGTATTTTGCAGGCTTTTCACTTACTGCTCTAAATTAAAGATCAAGTTATAAAGTCTGCAAATCACTGTAGTGGTAGTTTCAGGGACGTACATTGTAGTGTACTGTAGTGGGCTGACAATTAAACATTGTCCTTAGTGCCTATGACTGTTTCTGCCCAGAGCTGGGGGTGTAAAATCAGAAGCAGATTTGAAAATCAGGGGAAAATACCTTAATACTGAAATCAGTGGAATGTCCTTTTCTCTTTGTTCTTGCACTGCTCCAAAGTCAGTGTGGTTTTTATACTCAAATAAGCAGCTGAATTTCTATCTCTGAATTGCAGAGGAGTTGTTTAGTTCTCTTTACTTGTCCCCAGAGCGTATTAGATAGGAAAAGCTTTTGCTTAATGTTGGCCTTGGCTAAACATTAGCTTTTTCTTTATGGGACATTTCTTTCATCAGCTGCACAAACTCAAGAATAAGCTTCCCAAACCCTGTCTCAGGCCACTGTGTTTTGGAACAGCAAAGTTAAGGGGGGACCTATGGGATGATGGAGGAACAGGCTATACCAGCTTTCCGGTTAGTGTCAACTAGCTGTTATCAGGAAAAAGGTGTGTGGATCAAGGAAGATGTGCCACTTTGTATGGCCAAGTGCAAAATCTACACTTACTAGTCTGCATTTCAGCTGTGCTCTAGAAAAGTAGGAGTGTGGGCTGAATCCTCTCCTACGGGTTTATTTGCCAAAGCAGCCACTCAATGCATTGCTGAATAAATACTGGAAATAACATCGGCAGGAAGTTTTAATTCAGATGAAAGTTACTGAGCCACAGTTCCTTAAAATTATCCCACTGAAGGTCTGTGTAGCAGATGGGAGAGAGTCATAAAAGAGTCATTCCCAAAGTAGTAGATAAGTGTCCCAAACACAGTCTTCCAAGTCATGCAATCTGGGGTCCAGCAGGCCTAGGTGTCTAGGTACTGTTTGCAGCACAACCACAGTCATTTGCCAAATATTGCTATCAGGACACCCTTCAAGGTCAGAACTGCTTGCAAGGTCGTGAGTTACTAGTGTTTGTTATGGAGGGACTGCTGCTAGCTCCTACCTGGGTAAGCAACAAAAAATACTATTTTTCACATACCTGCAACATGACAAAAGAATTGTTAACCCATAAATATTGCTAGTAATTTTTTTTTTTGCAGTATCAACAGTAAACCCATAGAAAAACACTGCAGACCTGTAGCAGGCTGCCTAGAAGTTCACAAAGCCTCTTATATTTGTCACAGCAACTTCTTTCCTTTCCACTGTAGAGGGTTTTAAAATCTGATGTAATAAAATGTCAGAGAAATTTCTCCTGCTGTTTTACTCACTGCAGACAGGAAGCTCTATAAGACAGAACAAATGGGCTCAGATTCTGCCCAAGGGAAATGTGTTGTTCTGAAATATCTTGAAACTGGAGTAAGCCGAGGTTTTTAGCATGTTATTAAAATGAGGCTCATTATGAAATCCAAACTGGAATTCAGAATCCAAATCTGCTCAAGTTTCAAGGGATTCAGACTTACTGTTTTCTTTATGCTTCTTTTCAGTATTTCTTCTTTCTTTCTTTTGCATGAGGTAGAGTTTGACATTATTACTCAGTTTTTGTCAGTTTTCCTAAAGGTTTCTCTGCTCAGGAGAAGGTTGCATTGTCATGTCAGTCTCACCTGCTGGATCCAGCATACCTCAAAATCAATGGCAAAGCTGCCTATGACTCCATCTGCATAAGTTGAGGCTCTTTAGTTGCTATTGCATGTATTCCTTTTTCCACTCTGATTCTCAGTGCATTCCTCTTGCTGCTCTTTCTCTTCTCTCCCATTTCCCCCCCTCTCATCTTGATCTTTTCTGTTCTTCTCTCTTGTTCATAGTTTATACTCTTCCTTTCTTTTCACTTTTCTCCTTCCAGAACATTTCTTCTCAGTTAATTTCTTCCATCCCTTCCATCCATGCGTAAAATCACACAAAGAAATTAAGGTAGATTAGAAATTAATAATAGCACTAATCCTGAACTCCCTGGTGAAATTCAAGGGATGTGTCTTCAATGAGTTAGAAAGGTTTAATCCTTCCACCAGGGCATAGATGCAGACAGTTATGCTAATTGGAAGGTATCCTAGACAAACTGTTTTACATTCATAGATCTACGTAGTGTTTCCTTGATCCATGCTATCTAAAAAAAAAAAAAAAAAAAAAAAAAAAAAAAAACAAAAAAACCCCCCCAAAAACCCTCAAACAAAAATAACCCTCTTGTTTCACCCTATAAAAAAAAAAAAAAAAAAAAAAAAAAAAAAGAAATCAGTAGAACCACTCCAAAATCACTCTAACATCAATATCACCATCTGGAGATGCCTCTTGTTCCATTAAAGAAAGAGCCTGGAATGACTAATGTTCCCATGTAGGCATGTAATTTTAAAATATGGTGGACAATCTGGGCCCATTTCCTTGGAGAATTTGCAAATACTTCATAAGCAAGGTAGAGTTTTGATCACAGGCAAAGATCTATATCAACTTTGTTGTCACAAGGGTGTTCACAGCAGCTTCTCTGAATGAAGGAATTGCCTCTAGAATCTTCCCAAAGGCAAGAGTTATAGATGTTACTGGTAACTATAGTTACAAGTAGCTCCTTACTGAAGTAAAATGCAAATAATGTTTTATTTCAGAAAGCAACTGATTGCATTAATGAAAGAAAAAACAAAGACAATCTATGCATTTTTCTATGTATTATTTTTTCTTCTGCAAATTTTAGCTGAGGCTGCTGAGAATTTCCAGCGAGTCTCACTCTGTGCATATAGAACAGAAAATCTACATTATGTAATGCCTTGGACTTCCACACCCAATATAATTACACTGGTAGTATATAAGCAGTTGCTTTTCTGAGTATTTCTTATAGTAGATCCTTTTAGCAATAATTTTTAGAAGGAAAATTTACATAGCTACGATTCTTGACTGATATGAGGAAATCAGCTTGGTTAAAACCCCGCAGAAAAAACAATGCTTGCATTTTTACAAAAGCTAAACATTTTACTCAGCCAGGAGACCATAATTACTGTAAATAGAGGAGGTTAAAAAGGATAATAATATAAGCTCCACTTCCGGTACATGACACGAAAATGAAATACAATTTCTGTAGAGAATAACCTCAGAATCTGAGAAGCGTGTATGTCCAGGATATAAAATATCCATTCACCAGACTGGTACATGGATGAGAAGTGGGAAGTCACTGAAACAGTAAATGTGAGTCTGCTTGCTTACTTCTCTGTCAGTCCCAATAACACCACTAATAATGGTTCTTGATTCACAACTATTATGCTCCTTATCATAAGCAGATGTTAATATTTCTGCATACAGCTTGAAGACATTTATCAGTTGTAAGTATTTGTCACTACTGCCTGTGGTTTCAGAGCTAAAGGAAGAACTTCTCTAGAGGTGTCTTTGGACCTCTTTGAAAGGTCCTCTCTTCCTTACTTGACTTTTCCTTCCTTTTTCAGAAATATTCCACCATATTTCTCCTTTGGCTTCCACTGTAGTCAACTGCAAAATTTTCCATATCCTGTTGAGGGTGCAGAATCAGGCTTTAAATCCACCAAAGCAAAAAGGAATATAGCTGCCAATATTATGCATATCATGCCCCAAACTAAGCACTACATTTTGAGTATTGCTTCTCAGTGATTGGTTCTGTGTACTTTTGTAATTCAGAGAATAATACTACTTAAGCTTTATTATTTATTTATTAACTGGTCATTTCACTAACTGTACATGCATCCTGCTCTCATCTCTTAAGAAATTTCTTCTGCTCTTGCTTTTAATTGCCCAAAGTTCAACCTTTCAGGTATTGTTTCTACGCCATTTACTTTTCAGCTTCAAAACCACCCCTTTTTCTGAACTGCTGTATTTATTTTGTATTGTCTCACTGACATTGTGCATTTTTCAAGACACTGAACATGTCTTATCCCATTTGTACCAATTGACATATAAATGTTAGGAGCACCTAAATTGCTTAAATGAACTAAATAAGCTTAAACATCTAGCTCATTACTTCTCCAACTACTGTAGGATTTTAGCTTTCTCAGCTTACAAAGTTTGTTAAATTATACATATTTCTATTTATAGACAAAATAATTGGAAGACTGACCATGGATCTGCAGGAACGAGGGATTCATTTTTCAGTAATTTATACTGCATCGAGACCTTCAAGGGTGAGTAATCTTCTGTGCCTACAACTGTCAAATTTTTGGCATCTAACAACTTAATGTTTACAGAGGAATGCTGTAGATTATTTTCAAGATTACACAAGCAAGCAATCTATATTATATGAAGTTTTGACCAGAAACGATTGCATGAATTTTCATGTGTGATAGCTGTATCACATAACTATTGAAGTTTTACTGTTCTAGGAGACCATAACTCTGGCATTGTCCTTAGAACTTATTATTTTTAAGGACTGTAATTTTAGATTTTTTTCCATTTAACTCTAATGGTTTTATATTAAGTTCTATGTGGAACCTGATCGAGCTTCGCAGTGTGGCTGGTTCAGTAATGGGGAAGTGTTAATTAACTGAAGGCTACTAATGTATCCATTTTTAAATTAACTGGTTTCATTCTTTTTAGTCAATACTTGGTATTTACAACTGGAAGGTAAAGTTTTCACCCTTGCTGATAGTCAGAACATCATTTATAGATCATATCATATTATGTTAGCAGTAAGTAGCAATGCAGAAGAGTTATCTATGCAGTTATCTGTTTGTCTGACATACAGGTTGTAATCAAGAAATATTCAAATTTTAATTTTAATGTGAAGACAGTCATGCCTTGAGGAAAACAGAATACACTTCCCACTAAGAAGAGAGGCACATGAGGGATGGGCTGTATCCTAAAAATCAGTAACTTTTTTGAAAGAAACATATCTATCTGTTCCAGCGGTAACACATCTGAGCTCCTAATGTGATGCTTAGTTTAATTTGAATGTTAACTCAAACTCAGGATAATGTAATTTGAAAATACAGAAGATAGATATAATTTCCTTAGTTTAGGCAACAGGAAAGCCTTTAGTGGGATTGTCTAGATCTAGCGTGAGCACTGCAGACAGGATTTTGAGAAGCTGGAGGATTTTCAGGTGGGAACACTAAGAAAAATTCACAACTGTTCTTAACACAAGAACAACACCTAGAAAACCTGTTTTAAATGGGTATGGAGAGAAGTCCCTTTAGCTTATCCAAAAGAAGAGTAAGAGGCAACTTGACTGCACTTCATAAATGTTCTTTAAGCCAAAAGTGGATAAGCCCCAAAGGTGTTCTGTGCTTGATCAGAAGTGATCAGAAGTGATCTGGGTTTTTGCAGGGAGATATGATCTTGGACCTCTGGCTATCCAACAAGATGATCAGAGTAGTCCCTTCAGACTCTAGGAAAAAGGCTAGTTCTACTGAAGAAAAACAAGAACTTTCTTCAATAATCCACCCTGTGAAATTAATTTCCGGAGACTGGGTTTTGAATACCAGAGTTAGAATACAAAGACAGAGCAGCATGAGGAAGCTCACATTGATATTCTCTGTGCTGTATGTTTCTTGTGGTAAAGGAGAGTTCCTGCGTCCAAGACTTTTGATCTGCCTTTTTTGTAAATACTGCATTTTTTTTAACAAAGATCTAAAATAAAGATAAAAATTGTTTAGTTATTGTGGCTCCTTACTGTTTGAAATCAAAGGAACATGAACATTCCTAGCTGCAAATTGCATTTAGAACAATTGGAATGAAAAATATTTTTAATTAATGAAAGAATTGGTGTCAAGAGAAGGATTTTTTCTGAGCAATTTTCAAAGTTTCTTGAATTTTAAATCTATGCATATTTCAAAAGGCTTTCTAAATTAAAGTGACTTAGTTTGAGCAACTGGAGCACTTCTAAATAATTAAAGCATGTATTTTAAGATGTTCTGCATTTTTTAAAAATAAGCAATTTAAACTTTTCTTAATTCTTTAAATTCAATGCCATATAAAACCATTTGAAGCATATTTTTTTTTCTCCCACAATAACTTTAAGTTATTTCAGTGTGTTCAAGGTTATCAGCTTCTGTACAGAGCTAGAAAAGACAAAATGGAAAGTACCTTTGAGGGTTCATCAGTCTGTACATTTGCATGTAACCTCTTCTTAGTACATATTGCATATCTTTGGCTGTGCTTGAACTACAGATGTGAACTGTTTTGTAACTTTAAGCTAAAGGACTGACTCCCTTTGCTTAATCTATAAAGACTATATTCCATGATCTAGAAGTTACAGCGTCACTCCCCAGTGATAACCAAGATCACTATATATGAGAAGGAAAAGGCTTTGATCATATGGGAAAAGAGTTTACATTACTTAGTACATTTGAGAATCAATAGGATTCATTCAGTATAAAAGATTTGCATTTACTAAGTTGACTTTTTCTCATTGGTGAAGGAAATGAGCTTTAAGCACGACACAAAAAAAAAAAAAAGACAGCACCTTCTGATCAGATAAATTACTTTTATGCAATGAAGCTCCCAAACACTGGGCTATGAGATACTACTCTCCCAATAGCTCTGCCTCCTTGCTATTGGACAGTTAATGGCTTCATAGCATCGTCTTGTTACATTCGCTCATTCTTCCATTGCCTCAAGCAGGGAAAAATAAAAGTGAGAAATGCATATATTGGAAAAGATTCCAGACTGGTATTGGCTTCACAGAGAGTGAATTAATGAGACAGAAAGAAAAACTCCCCTATGATTGAGTCTCTTTTCTGATTTGATGAGAAAGAGCTGTTTAGTTTAGTCAGTGCAGCCACAGATCCCTTTGGTCTATCATAGTTATCAGTTAATAGCCCCAATGAAAAATGGAGATTTATTCAGGCTGGTTCTTGCTCTGTTCCAGTTTCAGAATTTGAAGCTGGGAGACAGAAATAAGACCCTGAAACAGAGACTGTTTGGTGACCTACATGAAATGGTTTCACTAACCAGTTGATGATTCCTCTGGATATCCCATCGTGTCGTAAGAGCTGCCCTCCTCTAACAAGGCAACTGCCACGTCTTGCGACTCTTGTTCTAAAATCCTTTGCCTTCAAGAACCAGCTGAGTTGGGCTGACATTGACAGAATGATTTGTATCACCTAATTCTGGGCAAGTGAAGTGTAAATGCCTACATCTGAATTCATCAACCGTGGTTCTCTTTACAATCAAAGGCTTTTTGTGGTATAATCCTTCCACCCTACTTTGTAGGGGACTGCTGCAGGATGAGATGAAATTCACCCTTCATAATCTCCTTTGTCTCTGATAATCATAAAGGCAGTTCTCATGCTTAGGTGAGATCTCGAAATATGCATTTAGTCAGACAACTCTCACTCAACATTTCTCATCTTATTTTCCACTGAAAACCAGAAACTTACCTCAAGAACTGAGGAGTCTCCTGCCAAGACCTTTCTTCCCCTTGAAACTCATTTGATAGCTTATTTTCTTCAGGAGAATCAAACCCCTCTGCAGTCCTTGTTCCACTCTTGCATCAGGAGTTCTCATGAATATATGAATTTTTTTGTTCTTGGGGACTATGATCAAAGTCATCCCTCCTACTTGTGCTTGCTGCTAATTAGTTTTTTTGGCTTGTGGTTGTCATGCATAATTTTACTTGTGATGTTGGAATTGGAGAGGTTAAAAAGGCTGCAGTGATTGAAACATAGATATGCCTCAAATCATGAATCTCATCATGTTTCCCATCCTTCAGATCCTCATGGTGTCCATGTCACATTTTTACAAGTTTGCTTTTGAAACTTCTGCAAGACAGTTTTATAGTTGTTATCACTTCCCAGTTAGATTGAATGCTGAGGAACCACATATTGCCAAAAGGAGATTATGGCTACTTCCCAGCCAATGTTCATTTTGCTGACTCCACTTTTTACAGATGCATTGTGAAGTGCTGTTTAAACCTTTTCTACTTCCTCCACATTTTCAGAGAACTTCAGCTACTGTGGGCTTTTGACTGCTTCATTCTACAAGCTGTCTGCTCTAGTTGGTGTTTAAGTGTGTTGAGTCTTTGATCCCACTCAGAGGCAAGCAATGTGAGTTATAGGAACTTTATTCAGCCATAAGTAACATGGGCATCTGCAGCACAAGTGGTTGCATTTGACTCTTAAAAAGTGTCTCTTGAAGGTATTGATCCTCAGGTGCTATTGATGTGCACCCCAGCTGAAAAGAGTATGAAAAGGTTTTCTCTTTGACAAGTGCTTGTGGTTGAATTTTCTTTGTTTCTGCCTTCTACCTAATGTGTTTTTTAAAATGCATTGCATTTTGCAGTGCTGCACCTTCCACTTACATCCAGCTCCTCTTTTTTGTTGACTATGTCATGGTTTAACCCCATCCAGCAACTAAGCACCACACAGCCACTCGCTCACTCCCCCTGCAGCAGGATGGGGGAGAGAACCAGAAGGATAAAAGTAAGAAAACTCATGGGTTGAGATAAAGACAGTTTCATAGGTAAAACAAAAGCCACATATGCAAACAAAGCAAAACAAGGAATTCATTCACTACTTCCCAGTGTCAGGCAGGTGTTCAGCCATCTCCAGGAAAGCAGAGCTCCATCACACGCGATGGTTACTTGGGAAGACAAACACTGTCAGTCGGAATGTCCCTCCCTTCCTTCTTCTTCCCCCAGCTTTATATACTGAGCATGACGTCATATGGTGTGGGATATCCCTTTGGTCAGTTGGGGTCAGCTGTCCCAGCTGTGTCCCCTCCCAGCTTCTTGTGCACCCCCAGCCTACTTGCTGGTGGGGTGGGGTGGGAAGCAGAAATGGCCTTGACTCTGTGTCAGCATGAAAACATCCCTTTATTATCAACACTGCTTCCAGCACAAATCCAAAACATAGCCCCATACTAGCTACTGTGAAGAAAATTAACTCTATCCCAGCCAAACCCAGCACATTTCACCAACTCTGAGGAGACTAAGCTCTGTAACAGCCACCCCACTGACTTCACAGCTTCTGATTAATGGAATGCTTTTAACCATTTAATATACTTGAACATTATACAATGGGAGCTTCCCCATGAACCAAATGTTAGAAAAATGCTTTTAATGCCATTTACAGGAGCTGGGGTTATAGGGTTAATATCCTCATGCATCCTCGAATATAGGAATTGCCTTATTCATTTACTCTTGTATTTTTTACATTTGAAGGAGCAATTATAGATTGACAGTATA